AGTACCCTGGCCCAATACCATAGTGTGTGGGATAATTACTTTAAAAAAATAATTTTAAATATGACTAAAACAGAATAAATATCAAAATTGAAATTTTATGTGTTTATTCTCTAAATAGATATTTACATTGTGGTAATGTAGCATTGTACATGTGCATTTTATGTAATATACATGGTCATTATTTGTAATATAAATGCATTTTAACTACTCTCTCCGTTCTCAAAAACACTTCCTCTTTAATTTTTTCACTTTCAATAAAACACTTCTACTTTCTATTAAAGCAGAATTTCCTTTCTTAGCATCCCNCCTCAACAATTGTTTCACTTACTAGTACCTTCGTGGAATTAAACACTACACGCTGAGCATAATCTAAGTGGAAAATAACCGGTAAACATATATAATAGGTGAATATATTTTAGAGGATCTCATATTAATCATCATCAAATATGTTTCACACACTTTATTTTATTACATAATAACATTCTCACTTTATAAAAGATAGCCTGGGACATTTAGAAAACTCTTCGCCTACTAAGTTTATCCCATATTAGAGACTAAGTCGTGACTAGGCTAAAACCCCACACTAGGGTGTTACAGACGACCTACTCGAGTACCTTAAGACTCATTCTTAAGAATTTCCAAATCGACTAAGTCTCGGCCTCTTGAACTCCGTCAAAGCACCATACTAGTTATTTGGCAAATGACCTTTGCCAATAGGTTATGATTCACTCCAAGATTTCACAACAGCTATCCCGAACCACTACAATGAAGATTTAAAGATTATCTTTTACCATTCCCTCTGAGATTTGAAGGCTATCCTTAAAGCTTTTACCCAAAGATTTATTGTTAGGATAAGTGTCTAATGCTGGAGAAGGGGTGAATAGCGTTTAAACTAAATTGCAGAAAATTAAAATGAAGTTAGCAGAAAGTAAAAAAGCGTAAGAAAAGAATACATCGACACGCACGGGTTCCCTACAGCTAGTGGCTACGTCCAGTGTCTTGAGAGACTCTCTCGAGCTACACTACTTCCATTAAGCTTATGAGTGTTTAAGAAACCAGTATAATCTGAGAGCTCAAGTCACACGACTGACACGAGCCTTAATACACTTGCTCGGAGATACCGCAATCCAAGACATCAACCGCTCAGAGTCTTTGCCCAAGACTTCACACCGAAGGAACTAAAGCTTTTTTCAAACTACAACAAGGGAACAAACCTCTATTCAAGTGTATACAACCATGTACGCACTCAACTGATTTTTTTGACATTATGGCTGAAAACAGGCTGATAATCGATTATCACAAGTTGATAATCGATTATTGGCTTCTCTGAAGTTTTTCAAAAGGCAACAGTAAAAAACTATGCCTGAAAACCAATGTCAAAACTAAAAATTTCCTAAATCAAAAACTAATTATTGGAAACATTGATTTGCACTATTTGAAGTGGAAACCAAGTATAAAAACTTAACAAGCATGTTGTTAAGGTGAAAGCCACACATCACCGAGGTAAAACGGTTTTCATGGTTTTTGACCAAAGACCAAAAACCGAAGGTGGTTTTTAGAAAGTTTTTGTATGGAAACCTTTTAAATATGCCTTGAAGTAAAAACATAGTATAAAAAGTTGAAAATCACTCGGCTAAAAACCACGCTGAAAACTGAACGCCTAACGTTGTAGCTTTGGTTTGGGCAAAGACCATGGATTTTGTAAACTTAAACAAAAAATGAAAAACCTTTGTTTGATGCATAAAAGATGGTTTTATGCTCTTAGCTATTGAGAACCAAGACGCAAGATGATGGTCGATTATAAACCAACTCAACCAAAACCTAAGTCTTCATTGGTCTTGATTCTTTCGTCTTGTCCCATGCCTTACTTCATGCCTTGAGTTATTCAACGGAACTCTACATATCCACGGCAGCTTGGCAATTATCAAAACATATGAAGGATGAACACAACTTTAGTTCAACGCAGTGTAAAGTGTGTTCCAACATTTCTCAACTATCCTTAACCGTCTACACAAGGTATATACGATTATCCTCGACCGTTGCAATGGGTGAAAACTGTGTTTAAAAACACAGAAAAATATTCAACACCTTTTGGCCTATGATAAAGAAAAAGATCAATTCTTGGTCAGTGAAGAACGAAGACTATACTCTCTAAAACAATACAAGATCAACATATGAATGTGAGAGTGCATATGTATAATCACCATAGCTCGGTGTGTGTTTAAAGACATGAAGAACTAAGCTTTTGAAATAGCCAAAACAATAAAGAATGAAGACTACGACAATGAACACACTTGAAATATGAAGTATATATAATCTTCTTTGTAATCCACAAAAAAATAGCTTCTCTAAAAAGTCAAAATAAAAAACTCTCTTAAGAGCAGCTTTAATATACTTCTTTCACCCGAAAAGTTATCTATTTGAACAATGTGCAAAATCCAGTAACTTTTAAAATGATTTATTTACAACTTGATATAGAAATAAAACTAAAACTCAGATATTTTAAAACTATACCAAAAATTTTATAGAAAAAAAGTTACAGAAATATTTTATTTTATCAAATAAATAATGAAAACATGCAAACAAATTAAAATTATCGTAAAACTATAATGGTAAAGAGTGAAATCACTTTGAATCGAAGTAACTTCTAACAAATATTGGAGTAACATTTTTTTCCCTTCAAATTTTGTCTTTTCCACACCAAAGACTGGTCTTGATTGTCATATCAGTTTAAATGGGTAAACCAAAGATAAGAATTGGGTGAAAAAACCAAAGTTCCAATCACATGGGTAATAGCTCTCTACCTCAGCAATGTGAGGATGGAATTCATGATGACGAAAGGACTATTGTGTTTTGTTTGTTGTCAAAATATCATTTTTGACACGCATTACTCAACATACAAGTGTGTGCCCAAAGCCCCAAACCATATTTGTAAAATTATTTGACCTATCCATATTAATGGCATATATGTTTTGGATTCATACTTAATTAAACTAAACACATGTCACACGGGAAAGTTAAACATGCCTTTCAATTTTCTGTGATTAGTATATATAATGACCATTTTTTTTATTAACAAAGGAAATTTGATGTCGGAATTGGATATTATTATTCTTAGCTTTCTTTTTTGTTATCAATACTTGTGATTTATTTTGTGTTAGCACGTGAATTATTTCCTGATTTAATTGACAACATCTTCACGCCATCTTTCATTTTTTTGTTGACAAATCTCTATAAAGCCTTTTGTTCATTTATCTTTTTAGGTTTTTGTAATGAAGAACGACCATGAACAACCTAAATGCATTGGTAAAAAAATGTTTTACCTAGTTATACTAATAAATACTTTAACAAATTTTAGATTCGATCACTTCAAAAAAATGTTTTACCTAGTTAACTAAAAAATGTTTTACCTAGTTATACTAGTAAATGCATTAGATTCACTAATTTTTATTTAAAATTGAAATTTAATTTCAGTTCAATTTAGTTTAATTATATTTAGTTCATTTGAATGTAAAAGAATAGAATCTTAAAGAAAAGGTTACGGAGTATGTAACAATAACATTTTGGAAAATAAAACTTGTGCTCTTTTCTATTAATCTATCATCTCACTACTTAATATTATTCTTAAACTATACAGAGTATATATAATTTGGCAATTCAAGCAAATTATTCAATCCCGTTTCATACTCCATCTGTTAAAATTTAAATTGACAATTCACTATTCAAATGGTCAAAATTTAGTCATGCTTGAATTTTGACTCATTTTTGCTACCCATTTAAAAAATATATATAACCTTGTCACCTCTTATTTTTGTAGAATTTTTGATGTAGCCTTTAGTTTCTAAATGAGAAAAGTGCACCGTTTATCCCGAACTCTTTGGAAATTACATGGCTTATCCTTAAGCATTAAAAAGTGCACCGTGTACTCTCGAGCTATTCAAAAATTACATGATTTACCTCTGAACATTAAAAGGTATATCAAATACATACCTCTGAACAATTTAAAGTATTGCATCGTTGGTCCTAAAATGCTAGACAAAAAGTGCGTTGCTCCCGCGCACGAAATTGCGAGTATGATTCATCTGGTTCTTGTGACTTCTCCAAAATACCCTTCCCCAAAATTATCGTCTTTATTTAAATGTTCAAGGGCAAACTGTGTAATTTACTTTTTAATGTTTAGGAGTAAACCGTGCAATTTCTGAAGAATTCGGGAGTAAATGGTGCACTTTTCTTGTTTCTAGATAAATAAATTTTATTTTTTAATACCGCACCCATTTAGAAATAAATTAAATATAGCTTCAGTCAACATCGTAAATAACAACATACGATTTAAATTGGGACACGGGAAATCTCTATTAATTTTACTATGACTTTTTGTAGTCTTCATATTCCAATACCAGAGGTTGACCATTACTATAGAAGTAGTGAAGTACCCCGGAGTATGTTATTAGTAACTTTTTTATTTTATCTTATGTTTCTAAATAAGTACTCCCTCTATCTCTAATAAGATGTCATCACTACAATTCTAGACTTTCACTAAGTTTTATTTGCTTGTTTGTTTTATTTATAATTTGATAAAATAAAATATTCATATTTATATCTGTTTACAAATGTTTTTGATAATTTTAAATTTTAAAGTTTTATTTTTTATTTCTAGACTAATTTATACTCCGTAAATAATAGAGAGTATCATTTTTAAAATAGTGACCTTCTTACACATATTTAGAAAAAATATATGAATAATTTGAGGATGATGGAGTATTAATTACTCCGAAACAATCATGCCCTTATTGAAAACTGAAAAGGAGGATCATGTAAAAGATGCTCGCTCCTTCGTTTGAAACCTAACTTTTTGGCTTTTACTCCGCACATTAATTCAATGCTACTTGATTAAAATAATTTTTATTTTAATTCATTTATTTATTAGTGCAATTTTAAAAATAAAATTTGTAGATATTTATAAACTATAAAAAAATACCAAAAAAGTGCATTTATACAGTTTTGTTTTGGTTATTGATTTATAAAAATTTGAAAGAAATAAAGACAAAATAAATTTGACCATGTAAATAGCATCTACAAGATACACTTTCCGTCCCACAACAATTGTTCTAGTTGGTTTTGTTAAAATTCCGGTGGCCGAGAACAATGGATTAAGTGTCAGGTAAAGTTAACTACTTGCATATAAAGACAAGATCCACTTACTAACCCAAAACTTAAGCTGATATGTAGAGCTTCACCGGTGAAGTTCTACAACAATTTATTCTTTATTTTCTGATATTGGAACTACAACAACTTTTGAATCAAATTGTGTCGCTTTTTGACCCTACATAGTAAAAATAATGTATTCCGTTATATTGTAAATTTAATGCACAACATAGTTAGATTCAGTTAAAGATATAATTTTGATATGTTAAATTTTTTTAATAATTTAAATTTAAAACTCAATAGAAAATACGGTAAAAAGCGTCAAGAATTAACACAAAATTAAACTGCAACGATAATTTTAAAACAGAGAAAATTGTTTTAAGACGGGAAATTGTATTAAAAGGATCCCAAACTCAAAATAATTACATGGCCGAAAAATTAAAAGTAAAGACTGTGGAGTGTGGACAACACAAAAATGTACACTAAAGGAACAATATTATTTGTCAATTTGTCACTCAATTTGTAACTTTGAAAAGTTGTAACGAAACCATCCAGATTTGATTCGGATAAAAGACTGCATGCGTGCGTGCGTGCAATCCATGCCCATAATTGCATGGCCGAAAATCTTACTCGCATTTATCTCAATGTCTAGCTTTCACATTTTAATAAAAAAAGATACCTCCATCTCCATAGTTTCCTCAGTTGCGGCTGGATAGTCACTGAAAGAATGTAAATTTACTTTGATTGCATCTTCGTCACAAAGTGTGGAGCCTGCATCTAAAACCTACAGAAGCCTATATGCTTAGCATAGCACAATTAGTTGTCAAAATCAGAATGGAACTCGAGTCTTAGAGCATTAACAATGGCAAGTAAAAAAATGGAATGACACAAGATCAATTGAAACATTTCAGCCAATCAAAAGAAATTCAATTAGCGTGTGGCAAAATAGTTGATCGAGTGTGTGACCTGCAGTGGCAAGTAATATTTTTTTGTTATTCTTTTACACTTTTTTTAATACATATTTTTATCATTAAAAAATAATTTAATTACTTTTTCAAAAAAAAATTGATGTACTATTTTTAAAAAAATAAGCTTTTTTGTTCAAAAAAAAAGAGAATTTACTTGAATATCACTAAAACATAATAGAATATTGAATAGAGTGGAGAAGCCACACTTGGCAACTTGGATTTGGAGCTTACGTGGCAATAATGCATGGCAGCCATTTGGCACTCTTTAAACTTGCCACGTGTCCAATTTTATGATTGGTTTCACCAAATCACAATTACTCCGTAAATTGAGTCTCTTCTTCCCAGAAGGAAACTCTCCCCTTTGACACTCTTTGTTTTTGCCAACTATGCGAGGTCCACCAATACCTTTCACATTTTTAATGGTTATAAGGAGTAGTGTTTTTTTGTCCTGAAATATTAGAAGACACAATTTTGAACTAAACACGCTGGGCAAATTATTAATGTACCTAAAGTCCATGACGGACATTCATATATGCTAAATACGTATTTTCAACTTTGAAATAAGCATTTTTAAAATTTTACTAAATAAAAATATGTAAGAACATTCATATGGATCTTATGTGCACCATATAATCACTTAACACGCTGATAAAAGGAGTAAAATAAATGACTATTAAGTATTAACTTTATTTTGTTCAACTGGTTTATAAGTTTCTATTTTATTCACAAACTACCTCTATTAATTTCACACTTTAGGTCGATTAATTGCATACTTTAATTTGACCATCAATTATAATATTATCTTCTTCGTTTTTGGTTCTTCTAATTTTGACGTGTATATTCTCTAATTCAATACTTTGCTCATTAATATCATTATTTAAATGTAGTTATTTATATTTTATGATTGTATGATATTAAATTTATATCTCAATTCACTCTTTCTTCATAAGAGCATTTCCAATGGGTATTGTAAATTTTAGTAGTCTATATTGTATTTTACACTACCAAATGTATTTTAGCAATAATTCATTTTTCATGGCTAAAAAGCAATACTTTTTTATATATTTTATTTTTTAAAAAATACTTATTTGTGATAATATTTATATTTTAAAATTTTTTATAGTACATGTATTTCAAACAATACATATATTGAGTACTCTTTTAAAGAACACTGGTCTAGTGGTATAGAGTATAGACCTAAAAGACTTAAAGTTCCTATTTGAAAAATAATGTCTCTGACAAAATTATTGGGCGTAAAAATACACGAAAAGCAAGGTAGGCCCATCAAGAAACGGGCCGATTGAAAAATGGATCAAATAATGTACAAAGTAACTGGGAAGAGGATGAAAATTTATTGGGTGTATAACTGTGTAAGATTAGGCAGAATGAAAGCCGGGCCGGAGTATTAGCAAATAACGTTCACATGGGCCCATGTAATGGCGGGCCCGAAATGAAAAGACAAGAAAGAGTATGAAATTTTCCATTTATTAATTAAAACCCGAAGGCCCACGAAACCGACCGTTGAAGCTGCAACGGTCGTCGTCTTCAAAGGTTCTTCCCGTTTCCTTCTTCACTCTGCTATAAATCACAAGTGATTTCTTTTCAAACCCATCTGTACAGTTAGTTCACTCTATACAAATGGAGGAAGAAAATCAAGAATCGCCGCCGGCGCCGGTTCAGAAAGAGAACGCCGGCAAGCCCAGTCTTACCGGGAAAACTACCATTCCCGACCGGCTTAAGCTTCCCAAGGCATTCAAATACCCCGAAAGGTACCGACCGAAATCTTAATTTTGTTCGTTTCCGTACGATGATGGAGTCCGTCGATTTGACTCTGATTTTTGGATCTTTTGTGGTGATATATAGGTACACAAATCCGACTGATCAGATTATGTCCCCTGTTTCAAAGCGACTCCTTTGTAACGCCGGCAGAACCAGAAAGGCCGCCGCCGTTGCCGCCGCCGATGCCGGGCCGTCGTTACCCCCAAAGCCTATAAAGATGCAAGCTTTAGCACCCCTTCAGCCTGACCGTCTCGAGAGTTGATCTTTTTTATTAAAATAAAATCCTTTGTGACATTACTGTAATTTTCCGAACTGAATTTATTTTCTGTTTTTATGTACTAAATACGGAGTTTTATTTTGGAAATTTATGGCTATTGTTTAAGATAAAGTTGTGTGATATTTGAGGCAAATAAATGGGGACGACCCGAAATGGTCTCTGAGCCGTTCTAGAAATGAGAAAAATTTTAAAACCCTAAATCACCCTTCTTCGTTTCTAAAATTATTTTATTTTTTCTTTGGTGGTTTTCTTCTTCTTTGGAATTTACCTCCTCGGCAAAATTCCCCTAATCAAGGATCATACAATTCATCTTTTCCTTCACATCTCTTTGGTTCACATTCTTTTCTTTAAGAAAGATTGATAAAGTTTACTTTGAATTTACAGGTATGACCATCTAATCAATTTTTCTTGAATATAAACATATGTAATTAAAAAAACATTGGGTTTTCTTGAAAATCTTTCGTAAACTGTAAAAAAAACCCACCATGGTTGATGTTTCCATGTTTAAGAGTTTTTTCTGGCTTATAAAATTAATAGCGTGAAGTTTTTACCGGTTGATTCATGATTAGATTCATTTGATATGTCTTGTTTCGATTTTGTTTTTGTTTTCAGAAACACTCTGTAGATTCAGCAGCTTCAACCAAACAGGCCCTTAGTTCTTGGAGAGAACTTGAGGTCCTAACAGGGTATTGTTGGAGGAAGTAAAAGCTTTATTGATATGTTTAAGAAATGAATGACAACTAGCAAAGATTTTGTTTAAGGTAGGAAAAAACAGAATCTTTTTTACCCTTCTTCCTAGAATGAAATGTTTTCCATAGATTCAGATGACAATGTCCCACTAATTCTTTATTCATAGGGTTAAAATGGGTTCTTTAGAACAACATTCTAACGCTATGCAAGGTGGTGAAGAGGAGAAGAAACAAGTTGAACCTAAGCATAATGATGTTGTTGATCCAAATCTCGATCCCGCCATGTCGTCATCTCCTATGTCGTCCCCGTCATCACCTAATGACTTCGGCGCTCACACGCCACAGTGGAGCATGATGAGTTCATCCCCGCATCACGGGATGAGGAGTCAGTTGTCGTTCCCAGGGGAACACCTTGATTGGAACGGATCGGATACAGGTTACGACCCGAACCGCATCCCGTCGTCGGTTTTCTCCAGCAAGCCATCAATGCGTGAGGATTGGAGTGCCGCGTCCAACGAGTCATTGTTTAGCGTTCATATGGGTAACAACGGGAGCTTCTGTAGAGACGAGAGGAAGAGCTTCTCCTCGTCCCTTCCCACCCTCGTTGAAGTATCAGCGGATCGCGAAGGGAAGGGCGAGAAGATTTCTGTGGGGTCCGCTCGGACACAAGTAGAAGAAGAAGAAGAAGTAGTAGAAGAAAAAGAAGAGGAAGATGAAATCGTTGAGACCCTGAAATCAATCCCCGCTAAGAAACCTTCAGAATTCGACGTGGAAAGGGGGAATGCAAGCCCTGAAGTGCATACTTCTCCCATTGTTGGAGCTCCTCAAATTGAGCGGATTCAAGAATCTGCTCGTGTTTCGACGGGGAGCACGAGCAGTACTAAGTCCTTCGCATTCCCCGTGTAAGACGTCTTTCTTTTCTTAGTTGTATGCCTTGGATGTCATGACAAAGAAACTATCTCGACCAAAAACTGAAACTTATAATCGCAGACCTCTCCAACAAATGACTCATGCCTTTGTCATTGTCGTTGGTTGTTACAGGTTAGTAAAAGATTGTAGTCGAAGAGAAGGGCCGTTGAAAGGGGACAAAGGCGTGAAAGCGGAGTCTCAACCAACCTTGAAACCGCAATCGGAATCAGAGTCTCGAATGCAACAGCAGCCGGAGACAGGGGCAAATCCGGAAACCTCAAAAGAAGCGCCACCGGAAGCAACGCAGTCCGGTTGCTTCACTTGCTTCTCTTGTTGGCCACGCTGCTGTTGACGTGCATATGTTAACTTCGTTTCTTTACAAAATTCATGTACAATACACACACACACACACACAGAAGATGAATCTTATTTGTGGATTGTGTTGTTCGTTATACTCTTGGTTGGTTTGGCCTTCTGGAAATGGAAAAATTGTGCATAGAACAACAAAATTATTTCTGGCTGATCAAATGACAAAATGTACCACAAGATGTAAAATTTCTGGCATAGATAAAACACATCTCTTGAATTTAAGAATTCCAGTAAAGCCAAGAGAATAATTTGATCCAAGCAAAAGATGAAAGGAGAACAAATAATGCTTGAATCTGTAGATCTAATGAGTGTTTTTTTTCATAAATTCAAGAAAAAAATGATATTTTTCCTATTTCTTACCTTCATTTGTCCATGTGAGGCCAGAGAGATGGAAGGGCATTTTGGGGTAACTTTTCCAACTAAAATACTTCTCTTTAGTTTATGTGCAAAAAACAAAGAGGACCAACACATCAGAAGAACGGAAGGAGTGTAGTTTAAACGTCATTGTTGAAGTTAAACAAATTTGTATAAGATTGTTTGAAAGCCTACAAGATTTCCTTAAAGTAGAAAAAGAGTCATTCTTTTTTTCCAATTACATGCCAAATATCTGAATTCTGTACAATTGGTAATGCATAAAGAAACTAACTCTGGAAAACTGTCAATCAAAATCAAAATCTACTGAGATAACTGAGAGCCATTGCCAGCTCCGTCGTTCACATACAAGAAAAGAAAAAAACACAGAATCCAAACATTAGTCTTAAACCCTAATTCCTTGATAAGAATCATACTCCGATTTCGGAGTCTGGAAAGCAGTACAAAAGCCGTTGCTCGTCGGCGTCAGGAGTCAGAAGAAACAAGAAGGGGTGACGATGATGTGTTTCAGAGGGTGTGACACGTCACCGCCTCCGGCGTGCTTCACAAACTCCGCCGGCGTGAGAAAGCTGCCGTGGCAAACGCACACTATCCTCACTTCCTCCCCTTTCTTGTATCTGTACAAGAACCCTTCGATCTTCCTCCCGTTGGGCCCCTCGCCTTTCGTAGAAACGCAGGGCATGTTCATCATTAGGTTTCTGAGGACTCCATTGTTGTCCTTCGGGGAGGAATCTTGAAGACTAGAATCCTTCTTGACTGCAGGTTCTGGAACTGTGACTGGTGGAATGGGCTCCTCCTCCGACTGCACACTCGGGCTTCTTGCTTCCATGTTTTTGCCAGAAACTGAGATTTTAATTTCAAAGAATCAAGATCACATTTTTATCACAAAAGATCCAATTTTTATGTGAGATTTTAAAGCACAATTATCTTTTGCAATAGATCTGCAGAAACCCATCATTCAATTGTGGTGTACGAAACGTAAGATTTAAAAGATCAACAGAAGAAATTGAAATTGGTTGGATTAGGGTTCTTACCTGGTAAAGGTTGGCTTTCAAAATCAGAGATTCCAGAAGAACCACTCCCTTGAGAGAGTGAAGAACCAGGTGAATGTGAAGGCAATAATGGATTCCCATCTTCTTCTTCCTTGTCCAACTTCCCCCTGACATTCCTCGTGCTGTTAATTTTCTCCATCCGTTTCCTCTTCGCTTCCAGACGCTTATGCATCTGAGCGTCCTTCTTCTTCTTCCTCCACTCCTCTGTCTCCGCCTCCGCTGGGGAGGAGCACGCTCGGGTTAACGGCGCGTGGGTTGAGATTGCACGCGCCACCCCGTCTTCGGGCAAATTAGACACAGAACAAGCGCGTTTCATGTTCTGGGCTTTGTTCGGGTCGAGCCCGAATTTCCCGTTCAGTGAAAGCCCCAGGCTGAGCTCAATCCCATCCTCGCCGCCGTTTCCCCCTTCCGATGTCCGCACTCCCCGGCCTGCCTCCGCCGGCGAAAAGCTCCCGTCGACGCATAATTGCAAAAACGGATCCCCCGAGACGCCATCTAGCAACGGAAGGCTACCCATTTAGTCTGCCGGAATATCAAGAATTTCTAAGATTTCAAAACGAAAACCACCGGAAAACACAAGAATCGCCGGACCCAAAGGGAGGGATTTGTAGTGGCCTAGTGGGGAGGGAGGAGAGGATTTTCTTTTTATAAATTTATTTATTGGGGAGTGGTGGTGGGGGAATCGAGAAAAAGACCAAAAGGACCTCGATTGCGAAACGTAATTTGGCGTGTGGCGGACACGTGGTGGGACTGAACAGCGCGGGAAGGACCACGTGGGCTAGACAACCTGGTTTCACGGACGACGTCAAACGGGTTTCCGATCTCGGTCCCAGCGGTAAAACGTTGGAATCACCGGCAAGACAGACACGTCTCGGTTTTTATTTCTCAAGAGAGCCCTGCCACGTGTCGCGATAATACGGCCTCGTAATGACGCGACGTGCCATCTCTTTATCTCTCTCTCTCTCTAAATCTACTCCTTTCTCTCTCTAACTTTTTTTTTCTTTCGATTTCTCGTAGCTGTCATGCAATATAGGGGAGAGAGAGAGAAATGACGTGGGAGACAGGAGAGATAGACACGTGTCGAAGAAGGTGAGGTGGGGTAGGCTTCTATGTACTGTGGACGATTACGTCTCCTTACCATTCGTACGGCCAGGACACCACAAATCTTTTACGGATTCCCTTTTTTTATTCTCACTCACAATTTTTTCTCCATTTTTTTCAAAGAATTCTTTTTTAAAAATAATAGCTCAATATATTCTATTCTTTAAAATAAATTTTAAATTTTATTTATTTTATTTCTATTATTTAATCCTTATAATTAAATTGAGCAAATCAATTTGCCACAAAATTAATACCCTTGTCCTAAGATAGAAAGTTATAGATTGATTTAGATCATCATGTTTTTTTAATTTATTATTATTTACTTATTACTTATTTTTATTACAATCAAAAAAACATAACCTTACAAGATAAATTAGGCCTTTTTGGTAATTCATCCCCACCACTAGTCAACTATTGCTCTTTGTTTTTTTTTGTTACGTTACATGTTAAATAAACTCCGATTAAACATATCTCTTAGTTGGTGGTAGGGGTGTATACGAATCAAATCGAAACAAATATATCACAATTCGATTCGTATTCGATTAAAGTGATATGTATTCGAATTCGGATTCGTATATAATTCGAATTTTAAAAAACATTCGTATTCGATTCGATAGATATTTGACGTTCGTATTCGAATATTCGAATTCGAAAATATTAGTAATTTTTTTCTTAAAACAAATTTCTTAAAGACATTAAATTGTTATTTTATAATAATGTAAAATGTAGTAAAAATTAAAATGTAGTTAAAATATGTTAGAATATATATAAATTTATTTATAAATTATAATATTTGAATATATATAAATTTATATGTACACAAATATTTAATATATTAGAATATATATAAATTTATTTATAAATTATAATATTCGAATAATTTGAATAATAAATGAATCAAATCTATTAATATTTGTATTCGAATTCGAAAATAATTCGAATCTAAAATATGATTTGTATTCGGATTCGAATTCAAATATAGCGAATACGAATCATCTTTTTCGAATACGAATCACGAATCGAATACATTTTATTTGATTTATATGCACCCCTAGTTGGTGGTGATCGATTCTCATATGTGATTGTGTTTTCTTTTGGGGTTGGTGTTTCTCTCCCCTTTTGTGGGTGTTCTTTAAGGGGGGAATATATCCTTATATGGATCCTCAATGTATGATATGTTTAATACGGAGTATGTTCTAAGTGTTTTAATTCAACAAAGTTTATGTGGTTTGCTTACTATGTTATTTCATTTCAGAATTTGAATTTGGATTTAAGTTAAATTCTTGTAGTTCATAACAAAGCTCAATTTGAATTTCATAAATCTCTTATTGTCATTTGAAATTTTATAATTCCATTTTGATCGAATTGAAATGCATGAATTATAATAAAGTATTAGTTAGCAAGCACTATTCTTAGATTTCAGAAAAGAAATTCTCAATAATTTCAAAATATAATAAATTTAAAATAATAACTAAATAATCTTGAATTGAGGCACTTACAAATTAAAATTCAAGTTCTAAAATAATATTCCTTCTGTACCAAAAGTGGTTCCCAGTTTGATTAACATGAAATTTTAAGAAAGTAAAATACTCCCATCCGTCCCCATCTATTTGTCCACATTTGACTTTTGGAACTGTTCATCTAAGCATTTTGACTCATCAAATTCTCTCAATGTGTAAGCCTAAATATAGTCATGTGTGATCTTGTTTGATTTGTCTTAACATATAGATTATTAATATATAATTTTTATAATTTTTTAATATACAAATTACAAGATAAAATGGATTAAAGAAGTGTATTGGATGGTGTATAAAAATGAAAGTGGACAAATACTCTGGGACGGAGGTAGTAATATATGAAATTTTAAATAATACGGAGTAAATGCACAGTTTCTGATATTTGTAACCATTATATATGTAAATTTATCATTTTACTTTCTTAAATAGTCAAGTGAACCTTTCTTTTAAGATGGTGAAATATTTTATAAAAATAAATGCAGGCACTTTGTTTAAATGGCAAGTTGGCGTGGGGTAACATAAAAGCTGGTGGGAATGATGTGATAGAGAAGGGCACAAGTTTTCAACAAAAGAATCTGCGGAAATACACGCAAAGACAGAACTAGTCTACTCCCCCTTCCTCTTTAGTCCCTACTATTTATTTTTATTTTAAAAAAAACACTATCCAAACGAAAATTACTTTCTAATGTATGGTCTTTAGATCACATTTAGCAGCGATATTGTGAGAGTTCTATTACTTGTAATAATTCTTTGTAAGCAACGAGCACGAGACGATATCTCTAAAGATGTGATTGAAATTATATCATGATTTATGCACTTACGATACATGTTGGGCCGAGGCATGGGACTCCGAGAGTGGGCGTTTCACCTTTAGATCACATCTAATGTGTGGACTTGCAAAATTTTATTAATCCAAGAAATATGTTTCAATATTGTAAAGGATTTAACATTTTCAATAAAATCCACAAAATAAAAAACCATAGACTAATTTTCGGGCATACGGGGTATTTTTTAATACTCTCCCTCGAATTAATAGTCTTTAACCTTTATTCGGAAAGATTAAAGCAAATCTTCTTATTATTTCTGAAATAGTTTTTGGTCAATGACATTTTTTCTTTCCCATTTGATATTTAGGGTTTGTTTTTTTCGTTGAAATTCTAAAGTTGGAAGTTATAAAAAATAGGAAGCACTTAGAAAAAATCTGAAAGAATTTGAAAAAAACAATAAGTTACTCTCTCCGTCCCCAATTAGATTACAATATTCCTTCTTATTTTTGTCCCAAAAAGGATTACAAAGTGTTTACTTTTACACTAAATGGACTCTTTTACCCTCCCTCCCTTTTATCATTTCAATGTCAAATCTCACACACCTATTCCTATACTATTTGGATGGTAATTTGAGGGAAAAAAATACTGATTTGACTCTTTCTTAATTTTGTCTAAAAGAGAATACTGTAATCTAAAAGGGAACGGAGGGAGTAAAAAATATTGAAAAAATTAAAGGTTACATTTGGTACACTAAATTCAAACTATACAATTGAAAAATTGGAGTAATAATTCCAATTCTGGGACGGAGAGCTAGGAGCATATGAGTGTGAATTATGTGTCCCCTATACGCACATACCAAACCCACTTTACAAAAATTTTACAAAATAAAAGGTGACAAGAATATTCATTTGATCAAATAAACAATGAAAATATAAATATACAAAAGTTATCAAAAAAGAGAGAAATTAAAATTATAATCAAAATAAGGATAAAGGGAATATAACAAGAGGAACATGTAACACACACACACACACATATATATTACTCCATCCGTCCCTAAATAGATTACATTTTTTTTTTCTCTCCTCTCGATAACTTTTGTTTGTTTACGCGATGTCATTAATTAAGTATTTGATAAAATAAAATATTCTTGTCACCTCTTGTTCTGTAGTAGTTTTTTTGACGTAGTTTTTTAATATGTAATTGCTATATCTTATTCATATATCAATTTAATAAATACTCCCTCCGTCTGTCGTCCCTAAATAAACTTCCTCTTTCGTTTTTTCTTTGTCCCTAAATAAACTTCTCTTTTCTCTTAAAAAACTACTTTTACTCCTTACTTTTTCATAACCTACCTATCACATCATACCTTTTTACTAATAATCTACATATCATATCTTACTTTTACACATCACGTCAAGAATATTTTTGGAAAGTCAACACCAAAATATCCCTCCCTTAAATCCTCAAAAAATCAAAAATGAAAGTTTATTTAGGGACGTAGTAGTGAGTATAAATTATACTTCGTAAACAAATTAAAAAGATGGACTATGTAAAGATTATTTTAAGGGGGGGGGAAGTGGGACCCAAGAGGACAAAGTGTCATGGGGGGTGGGGATTAGTATTGAGGTGGGTCCCGCGGGGCTCCAAGTTGCAGTTTGCTCAACTGGGGGTGTCGTCGATGGGAGTGAACATGTGGAGGGTGCATGATGGAGTGAATGATGTATGTATGGGTGCCTCAGGAGAAGCACGCGTGTCAATGTACGGTCTTCGCACGTTGAAAACAGCTAATTAACGTAGGTGGCGTACGTACTTTCACGGTACAGTACTAACCAGATTCAACTTTGAGAAACTAACTGTCGGGTACCCCATATTTTGAGAAACTAACTGTCAGGTATCTCATATTTTCAAAATATATTCTGAGGTAACTTCTATTTTGAGAAACTAATTCCCGGGTACCTCACATTTTTAAAATATACTCCGAGGTACCCTCTATTTTGAGAAACTAACTATCGGGTATTAATGTATATTTGGAGGCGTAAAATTAATGTATATTTGGAGGTATCATGGAATATATTTTAAAAATGTGAGGTACCCGTAGTTAGTTTCTCAAAATAGAGGGTATCTCGGAGTATATTTTAAAAATGTGAGGTACCCGGTAGTTAGTTTCTCAAAATAAAAGGTACCTCGGAGTATATTTTGAAAATATGAGGTACCCGGCAGTTAGTTTCTCAA